CGGTTACCATAGATTAAAATTTAACTTTTGTTCCGATCTATGCAGTATGAACTTATGGTATCTTGAAGTCTTGCAGTTGTATGCTTGGGTTGGGATTTAATTTTATTTATTATAGGATCCCAAGCAGATGGTAGCACCCAGCCATCTTCTCTATTGAAATTAGGATGTTTTTTGATTTCAATAGCCTCGCGAATCATCCTTGGAAGGAATCGGTGTTCTTTAGCGAGGATCTGCGGTCTATCAAATCTGATGTAGTGACGGGGGCGATCCTGTACGTGTTCACAGACTGCAGACTTCCCGGAGCGTCGATTCTTCACATCAGCTATATGTTCTTTAACGCGGGTTTTTATTGATCTTTTAGTTTGTCCTATGTAGGAGAGACCACATTCACAATCAAGCTTGTACACTCTGCGGAGGGTACACCATGGTAAAAACTGACCAATCTTCTTCAGCGGCTTGAAGTATGTTTTGATGGAAGCGCGCTTCGAGATGTAGCCAATCTTGTCAGTGACTCCTCTAACATATGGCAGTACAGCAGGTACACGCTCGACTGTGGCCGGCTTCACTCGTTCACTGTGACGTAGGCGCGGGACTCGAAGCTTGTTGTCATGCAAAACTTGCTTGACATGGTGGAGCTCTGCAGCCAGGTGTTTACTGTCACAGATCCTGTTAGAAACAAAGATTTAATTAAAAAGTGATTTTTTAATTAAAAAGTTAAATACACGCGATAAATTCCGTAAAAACTAGTATTATTTCAATGTGTAGTGTTCGCGTAAATATAAGAAATCATTATCCAGACGTTAATTTGGAGAGCTCTCATCTAATGAAGTCAACGCTCCGTCCCCCTCGTGCTCCAATCCAGAAATCCGAAACCTTTCAGCTCGAGTTACGTAACCGCTTTCAGTGCTTAGAAGTTTGCAATGTAGTGGACGATATGAATGACAAGCTCGTGGAAACTGTCCATACGGTCGGAGCAAAGTTCTGCAAGACCGGGCGCAGAAGAACACAAAAGCTCTCCGATCACACTCTTAACCTCATGGCTGTTAGACGGGAGATGAGGCTGCAATCGTCAACAGATTTGACAGCATACAGGCAACTGACCAGACAGATCTCCAAATGCATGCGGCGAGACTTACGCAACTTTAATACTGCTCGTATTAAAGAAGCGATCGAGCGGAACCAGGGCTCAAAAGTCTTTGCCAGAGATCTGTTTGCCAGTAAGAGCCAACTGTCAAAGCTGAAGACTGAGTGTGGCAGCATCGTTTCCGGGACACCTGAGATTTTGAGTGAGATTGACAGGTTCTATGGGCAGCTGTACACATCATCGTTGGAGCCACACGCAAGTGTGAGTAACGATCCAAGAGCAAGTCTTATCCGACACTATTCCGATGATATCCCGGACGTCAGTCTGAGCGAGATTAGAATGGCTCTCCAGCACCTTAAAAACGGCAAGTCCCGGGGCGAGGATGGAATTACAGCGGAGCCTCTGAAAGCGGGTGGAAAATCGGTACTTGAAGTCCTTCAGAGGCTCTTTAATTCCGTCCTCCGTGGTGGCACTACTCCGGGGGCGTGGAGCAGAAGTGCGGTGGTCTTGTTCTCAAGAAAGGTGACAACGCCCTCTTGAAGAACTACAGACCGATATCCCTTCTGAGCCGCGTCTACGTCTTTTCGAGAGTCATTACGAATCGTTTCGCACTGTTATATCCCTTTTTTACAAGACAACAAAATATTAGTAAGCATTTATTTAATCACACGGTACTTCTCCTTAATATAGCTATAGTCAGCAATTATATTGTTATATTGTTCTTTTGTTGTATTGTTCTTTTGTTATATCCCTTTTTACAAATCAATAAAATATTAGTAAGCATTCATTGAATCACACGGTACTTTTCCTTAATATAGCTATAGTCAGCAATTATATTGTTATATATTGTTTCTTTCCATTTTTAAAGTTCAGTTAGACTCAGAGCCCCGGGTAGATCGGACATAGATTCCGAGACTTATTAGAGTTCGGAAGTCAAGGACTATATTAATTTGGTGTGAACTTTTTTTTTTGCAATAAACCTTTAGGTTTATTTGGTGTTTCTTTTTTTAAAAAGTCAAACGGGATCGGCCTCCTAACAGCACGCAGACTCGACGACTTCCAGCCTCCCGAACAAGCCGGTTTCCGAAAAGGCTTTAGTACCATAGACCACATACATACCCTTCGGCAAATTGTACAGAAGTCCGAAGAGTACAATCTGCCACTTTGCCTGGCGTATGTGGACTATGAGAAAGCCTTTGATTCCGTCGAAATTTGGGCGGTGCTACAGTCTCTTCAGCGGTGCTAAGTTGACTGTCGGTATATCGAAGTGCTGAAGTGTTTGTACAGTAGGGCTACGATGGCTATCCGAGTACAGAACCAGAGTACGAAACCTATCCAACTGCAGAGAGGTGTAAGACAGGGTGACGTTATTTCCCCGAAACTCTTCACCGCTGCATTGGAAGACGTTTTTAAGCTACTGGACTGGAAAGGATACGGTATTAACATCAATGGCGAGTACATCACTCACCTTCGATTTGCCGACGATATAGTCCTTATGGCAGAATCGCTGGAGGACTTAAGCACTACGCTCAATGACCTCAATAGTGCCTCCCGACGGATAGCTCTTAAGATGAACATGGACAAAACAAAGATCATATTTAATGTCCATGTGACACCTATGCCGGTAGTAGTAGACATGCTTGTACACATGTTCATCTGGCAAAAATCAGATTAAGGGATAGCTCATTGTGTGAGTGTAGCTTAGCTGAAGGTTCCACAAACCATATTTTTTTCATCTGTCCCAAATTATCCTCCCTTTATAATTACCTTCCTACTTATATTCTTCGACCTATAGATTTTAATTCTCTTTTAACATAATATACCAGTACTCCTTTTGTGTATATTTTATGTGATTTTATTAATACTAATAATATGAAACTTTAAATTTTTGTTTGTCACTTTTAACATACTGATAAGATTCTAACACCTGTGTTTATCATATTTGTTCTAGGTAATTCAACAAATAGAAAAAAAAATATTACAGTTTAGTTATTGGAATAAAATAAAATTTGATACAGATGGCCAGTGGACTTTTTTGTAGGTTGGGTAAGGATCATATGTAACTTAATAATTTACGTAAGCCACCCTTTCTTCGCTAAAACATGCAGTAAAACACCAGAAACAAACCAAAAAATTAGTTTTAAGTCCCATGCGACCTCTCCCGCGATAGTTTTCAGAAAGAAAGTTTTTGTTGTTTGTGGTGTCATCTGTTATAATTTTTTTGTGTTACAATGAACTGAGTATTGTTTTATGAAGATATTTGTGTCACTTTCTCTCTCATAACTACCCAGATAAGACTATTTCAGTCAAAATAAATGAAGATGGCCAATTACTATATCCACTACCCTATTTTACGGCGATTTATCATACCCTGTAGCTACTCGAGGGCTGTTGTGGAGTTTTTGAACCTCCGGTAGGAGTAATAGTGTTCTGTGTTTTGAACTGTTATTTACTGCTTACGGATGGACACATTTTCAACCATAGATTACTGTATATATACTAGAGATTTTCAACTATTCTCCTATGGGAGATTGTCCTCCTTACCTCTATACTCCATGCCCAGATAACAAATAGCCTCTCGTCTGTTGACTTTGGTTGAACGCTGGTATCCATATCCAGACGGATGTCAAGACAGCCGATACCATAGATAAATAAATATGTAGCAAGCTAGCCGATACTCTCGGTATAGTATATAGTTATCTGTGACCGATACTGTTGACCAGCGCAGACTACTAAAACACATTTCGCGCTATTTTAACCGTTAAAATCGTAGGCAGAGAATGCTAGGATTCTCTGTCTTCGGTGAAAATATTTCTCTCTCCTTTTTTCATATACCATAATGCTAAGGAGTAAATGGGCTAGCAATAAATCGCACCTTCTTAATCTCTGTAGAGATAAAAATTGACGTTTTTGGCAGTTGATCTTCATCTTTGGCAGTTGATCTTTCTTGTTTCATCGCTGTGTTTTAAAATATAAAAAATACCATTTTTGTGATAAATAGAGTGAAAAACCTGAAGGAAAACATGGAAAGGTATGTTTAAAATTGTTTTTATTACTATTTTGGTCGCTTTTTGTTAGATTTTATAATAAATTTCAGTATTTAAATAGAACACCTCTCGCTAAAAGTATTGTCATATTTCCGTAACCCAATTGCGTTTTCTTCATGAAAAATGTGAATAATACCAAAATAATACTTTAGTAAATTACAACCAATTTTGTTTTGTTAAATTTAGTGTAAAAAGTCTGTTTCTATGTAAAAAGTAAAGAAATTCATTGAAATACCACGAGTCAATGATCGACCGGGAAACCAGCGCGTAACAGACACGAGTTTGGAATGGCTTGTCAGTTTTTTATGCGTGTTATTTTTATGTGTAATATTATGGATACGACTTTTCACAATTTTGGTCTATTTACATTTTTACGCTAAAAGAAGGGTTGTTTTTCGAGTGTATGTTTGTATATGAAGGGTGTCAGCGATATTTCTAAAAAGTATATATTTTATTATAGAGTAAATAAATGACCAATATTTAAAAGTTTGGAATGGCATTGATTTTAGAATACAGGAAAAATTTATTTAAAAAAAATTCGTTTTTCACTTCAAAAGGAAAATATATAAGTAGGATTACTCACAATTTATAAATATATATATTTATAGAATTTGAGTAGTACCTACTTAAAAAAATTTATTAGATACTAATTTTTTTCTTTGGCATGTGCTAAAGCCTAAACGGCTTGACGGATTTTAGCGCTGATATGTGCTTTTTTGGTGTGGGCTTAACGTTAAAAAAACACGTGTGTTTTTTAAGCAAAATACACGTGTGTTTTTTAAGCAAAATACACGTGTGTTTTTTTAAGCAAAATACACGTGTTTTTTTATGTGTTTGTGTTTTTTTTTTTGTGTTAACACAATAACGTGATGGCACGCGGTAGTGTGGCGGCGCGCGGGGCGCGCGGTATTGTGACTGCCCGCGGAGTGCGCGGTGTTGTAGCGGCCCGTGGAGCGCGCGGAGTTGTGGCGGGAGGGACGCGAGGCCGTGGACCTGCTACGCGTGGTGGCCGGCAAAATGCTGACTCGTAAGAACCACTTGTTTTTACTAACAAAAAAACCTAACACTTATTTAGTTATTTATCAAACTAATTGTGATATATTTCTTTCTAGATTATCCAGCGTTTGTATCAAAGATTTAGAGGTTAGGGAGGGGATGGAACGCCCCCTAACAATACAAAAGCTCGCGTTTTGCCCCCTCGTCGGCAGCCACCTTAACCTTAGTTAAAATTAAAAATAAAATTCCGGTGCTGAGGGTATGGACTTATGGTTAATGCTGTACACCATAGTCTGTCAACAGCCACCAACGTCACCTGTTCCAGTGCCTTCCCCTGATCCTGACACATAATCATGATTTATTAAAACCCGCGACCAGCTCAGGGAAAATTTTTATTTTCATTATTGTCTCACATATTATTGTTATATTTTAGGACAGTGCCTTCAGGCCACCCACTCTTGGCCTCACCCGCATTGCAGGAGTCAGCCCCACCTTCCCCTGCTCTGTGAGTATAATAATACTATTTTTACAGCTGAATTGTCAGTAACATTTAATTTTACAATTAGTTATTTGTCCTAAACGCAATGTATAAAGGATTTTTTAAAATTTGTTTAGGTTTGTTGAATGTGGCGAAAGCACCGCCTCATCCCCTAGGGCGGGCCCATTAGGGATGGGAACGTCACAGGCTGGCCCATCAATGGTGGGTATTGTAGATGGCATTGATGGGCCACCATCAAAGCGCCGGCGCCGGCTGTAAGTACTCATTTATTTATATGTGACAGACGTATGTAAGACTATTTATTGAAAACTAACGAAACTTAAATTATTTTTAGGATACCAAGTGCAGCAGCAGCATCGGCAGCTTTTGTCCGCGGCTATGCCACGGATAATGAGATTGCGGATTTCCTCTGCAATAGTATGTATAAATATATTTTTCCAATATCCTTCGTGTCTTAAACACAATTATGTGAATTAACGTTTCTTATCTCGGTCTCAAGAAGAGTTCCCTTGATGAATCGATAAACTAAGACTAGTTTGTAGTTTAGTTTTAAAAGCTATTATTGTTTCATACAGGCAGTGAAGATGAGGACGACGAAGACCCGGAATACGGGGAGGTTGGTCCCCTGCCCGTATTACTTTCACGGTCGGAGAGAATGTTTCTTGGAGAGGAAGCAGATGAAGTCCCACCCACAGGTATTTAATGCAGAAATATTGTTTATCGTAACTACAGATCTCAAAAACACAGCATTATACATATAACGCCATATATTCAAAGTTATATATTAATATATTCCTGCCTGCCACCCACAGATGCTACTTTGAATTTGGAGTGGCCACCTCGTCCCCTCTCACCGCCGCAGCAAGAGGTATCTTCCCCTGCCACGATTCTCTCCGACCGACAAACACCGAGCGATGAGGGTGAAGTTGGGCCTCGCTCGAAATTTGAATTTAAGTGGATAGCGTTTCCGCAGTCTCAAACTCCACCTGAGCTGAGACGAGAAATATTTTCACAAAGAAATGTTGGACCTACGGTTCCATTGGCGACCCCGTATGATGCATTTACTGCCATATGGGATCAACAAATAATGGAACACATTGCAGCGGAAACGAACAGGTTTGCGCAGCAAGAGACAACGCTCATGTTGTCCGAAGGCACGTTGCGACCTACAAGTCGCATCACGCGCTGGAAGGACACATGCGTCGAAGAATTATATGTCTTCTTGGCTATAATCCTAGCTATTGGGGTTGTAATCAAGTCACGACTGGAGGAGTACTGGAATGTGTCCAAGGACATTTTCAGTACTCCTGGATTCTCCGACGTAATGTCATATGACCGTTTTCTGTTGCTGTGCAAATGTCTGCACTTTCAAAATAATGCGAATTGGGACCCACAAACAATGAAATGGTCAGAGGTGAGGATTTTTAAGGTGCGTCCAATTTTGGACCATCTTAATACCAAATTTTCACAGCTGTACAATATGTCGCAGAACATCGTGTTGGATGAAAGTTTAACCATGTGGAAGAGCTGGCTAGAAATTAGCCAGTTCATCCGCAACAAAGCTGCTACAGTAGGAATCAAAACGTACGAGGTTTGTGAGTCCAAAACGGGATACTTGTGGCGCTTTGAAGTCCACGCAGGACACGACAACTCCTCCAGCATGCAAGAAGATCCTGTTTCTGGATTAGTGCCAGCTCTTGTTCTGAGGCTTCTTGATGGTCTTGAGAACAAGGGCCACACGGTATGGATGGACAACTTTTATAATTCTCCTGCTCTTGCACGAGAATTAAAGGTTCGGGGCTTCGACTGCGTGGGGACTCTTCGAACAAATCGCCAATTTGTTCCCGTCGAGTTGGCGAGTTTAACGAAACAGAACATGGCTGTGGGTGAATTGACCGGCTGCACCTCAGGGGATGTGGATCTCGTGGTATGGCGAGACATGAACCGCGTGTCTCTTATATCGACATACCATGGGCTAGCAACCGTGAGATGTGACGACATTTTAAAGCCCTCCATAGTGTCAGACTATAATGTTTGTATGGGGGGTGTCGACCGCAAGGACCAGATGCTGGCCATGTACCCGATTGAAAGAAGGCGGAACAGAATCTGGTACAAGAAATTTTTCAGAAGGCTTTTGAATGCAAGTGTTTTAAATGCTTACATTCTGACAAAGTCGAGCTCACCCGTTGACCATCGCGAATTTCGCAAGACGTTGGTGAGGCAACTAATTACTAAACATACACCCGCTAAAGTCGCTCCAACACCTACTACTACTGACCACTTTCCTGGTCAGTATGACTTTATGTCGGGCAAGAAACATGAAAGAATGAGGAGATGTTGTGCCGTTTGCCATAAGAGGACTCATACTTATTGCACAGGGTGCAACATCACTTTGTGCCTTTTTTCATGTTTCGGGCCGTACCATAGCGCATAAACACTGCACAGTAACACTCTACAGTGACACTAGCTACAGACATTGGCATTTGAGCATTAGCATTTAAAATTCATCAGAAAAGCTTTTGCTTTTAAATAGCGGCATACCTACTTACTTACTTACTTTTGTAAGTAAGTAGGCATGCCGCTATTTTAGTCGGGAGGTGTTCATCCATACTGTAACGGGAAATATGTGACATGTATAGCAGCATTTTTTTTCGTATGAATGGAAGTTTTTCTCTCTTTTTTTGTATGAATGGAAGTTTTTTTTGATGAATGGAAGTATGTAAGTTTTTTTACAGTTGTGAATACTTTTGATCGTTTCATTTTTGTGGTTACCGATTTGCATTATTTTGAGTTTCCGTTGCCATTTAGACTGGTTTTACAGTCAAGTTGACCGCCAGTGCTAACAGCTCAGCGCGTAGCAAGTCCGTAGAAAAAAGGTGCTAACTGCTGATCCTCAGCGCTGACAGCTACGCTTTATACTTAAATGCTTCTTGGTTAACTAAACATATTGATTCGTCCGTGCTGGCGACGGTCAGCGTGTGGTAAGCGTGACTCTAAAACCAGCTTTATGCGTTGTTAGCGTTGTACAATCAACTGCAGGTCAAGTTATTTCAATCTGTCAAATTTCTCATGCAACTTTCAACTGTATCTCAAAGAAAAACAAAAATGTTGACTTTTTGTGGTAACTCGATAACCTGTTCGTACATATTAGGGATTATTTGTATCAAAATGGAATTTCAAATAACTGAGTTCAAATAAAACCAACTAATTTATTTAATGTTTACTGTTAGGCAATCTGAAATATGACCTACCTAACTAAAAAAGAATATCCACTACCCCATATCTTCCCGTGGGTATCGTAAGAGGCGACAGAGGGAGACAGGCAGGAGATGGGCAGCAGCATCTTCCTGTTAACAGCATTGATATAATAAAAACTGCAGTTGCCAACCCGCTCGCCAAGCGTGGCAACTATGGCAAATATCCCCCCATGAGTAACGACGCAAACAAACGGTCCCCAGTCCCCGGCGGCCCCGCTATTCCTGGCTACGGTGGCGACCATGGTAACGGCGGGGCAGAGGGTGCTAAGAATCTCCGGTGGAGGTTCGGTTGCCACCTACGACGACTCGACCTGGCAACATATAACGCACGCACTCTGAGGACTGACGAGAAGATACTGGAGTTGGAAGAAGAGGTAGACAAGTTGCGCTGGCATATTATTGGGTTATCCGAGGTCCGAAGAGAGGAGGAGGACACGGTAATCCTCGAGTCCGGCAACTTGTTCTATCACCGGGAGGGCGACCATCTGTCCCAAGGAGGTGTCGGATTTATCGTCCCCAAGTCTCTCGTCAACAACGTTGTAAAGATTGGGAGTGTGTCGACGAGGGTCGCGTACCTTATACTCAGAATCACCAAACGGTATTCGCTGAAGGTCATACAGGTTTACGCACCAACCTCGACGCATCTCGATGAGGAGGTAGAGGAAATGTATGAGGATATTTCTAGAGCCATGCATTCCTCCAAAACCCACTACACGGTGTTGATGGGAGACTTCAAAAATAGGCACAAGAGAAAGCGGTGAGCTGAAGTTGTGGAAATTTGGAGTAGGGCAACGGAACCGTAGGGGCCAGCAGCTGGCTGACTTCATGGAGAAAGAGGGACTCTTTATGATGAACTCTTTGTTCCAGAAGCGGCCCCACAGGAAGTGGACCTGGTCGAGCCCCGACGGTTCGACAAAAAATGAGATTGACTTCATTATGACGACGAGACGCCAACTGTTCAGTGATGTCTCAGTGATCGCAAGGGTAAAAACTGGCAGCGATCACCGAATGGTTAGAGCCACACTGAACCTAAACGTTAAGTTGGAGAGGTCTCGTCTAATGAAGTCAACGCTCCGTCCCCCTCGTGCTCTAATCCAGAATCCCGAAACCTTTCAGCTCGAGTTACGTAACTGCTTTCAGTGCCTAGAAGATTGCAATGCAGTGGACGATATGAATGACAAGCTTGTGGAAACTGTTCATGCGGTCGGAGCTAAGATCTGCAAGACCGGCCGTAGAAGAACACAAAAGCTCTCCGATCACACTCTTAATCTCATGGCTGTTAGACGGAAGATAAGGCTGCAATCGTCAACAGATTTGACAGCATACAGGCAACTGAACAGACAGATCTCCAAATGCATGCGGCGAGACTTCGCAAATTTAATACTGCTCGTATTGAAGAAGCGATTGAGCGGAACCAGGGCTCAAAAGTCTTTGCCAGAGATCTGTCTGCCAGTAACAGCCAACTGTCAAAGCTGAAGACTGAGTGTGGCAGCATCGTTTCCGGGACACCTGAGATTCTGAGTGAGATTGAGAAGTTCTATGGGCAGCTGTACACATCATCGTTGGAGCCACACGCAAGTGTGAGTAACGATCCAAGAGCGGGTCTTATCCGACACTATTCCGATGATATCCCGCACGTCAGTCTGAGCGAGATTAGAATGGCTCTCCAGCACCTTAAAAACGGCAAGTCCCCGGGCGAGGATGGAATTACAGCGGAGCCTCTGAAAGCGGGTGGAACACCGGTACTTGAAGTCCTTCAGAGGCTCTTTAATTCCGTCCTCCATGGTGGCACTACTTCGGAGGCGTGGAGCAGAAGTGCGGTGGTCTTGTTCGTCAAGAAAGGTGACAACGCCCTCTTGAAGAACTACAGACCGATATCCCTTCTGAGCCGCGTCTACGTGCTGTTTTCGAGAGTCATTACGAATCGTCTCGCACGCAGACTCGACGACTTCCAGCCTCCCGAACAAGCCGGTTTCCGAAAAGGCTTTAATACCATAGACCACATACATACCCTTCGGCAAATTGTACAGAAGTCCGAAGAGTACAATCTGCCACTTTGCCTGGCGTATGTGGACTATGAGAAAGCCTTTGATTCCGTCGAAATTTGGGCGGTGCTACAGTCTCTTCAGCGATGCCAAGTTGACTGTCGGTATATCGAAGTGCTGAAGTGTTTGTACAGTAGGGCTACGATGGCTATCCGAGTACAGAACCAGAGTACGAAACCTATCCAACTGCAGAGAGGTGTAAGACAGGGTGACGTTATTTCCACGAAACTCTTCACCGCTGCATTGGAAGACGTTTTCAAGCTACTGGACTGGAAAGGATACTATATTAACATCAATGGCGAGTACATCACTCACCTTCGATTTGCCGACGATATAGTCCTTATGGCAGAATCGCTGGAGGACTTAAGCACTATGCTCAATGACCTCAATTGTGCCTCCCA